CGTTCAGCCGCCGCGGGGCGAGCAGCCGTCTTCCGGTGATTGTTCGTCGTCGGGACAGTGGCAGGCCGGGCGCGCGTACTTGCGGCTTCTTGGGAAGCGTGCTTCCTGTCTCGCTGTGTGCTTTCAGATGCAATGTCTGGGTTTGGGTTGGAAGGTCGTCTCGAATGGTATCTGGCGACCGCCGACCGCTGTCTCGGCGACCCAGGCATCGTTGTCGATGGTAGGCTTGTGACAAAGGGGGCATGCTGAAATTCCTTCGAGTACGGTGCTGTGACTCTGGAGGCGCACGCGACACCGTCTCCGCCGCCCAAAGTGCCGTCTGGTCCAGCACATTCGATGCGGCCGGCGATCGCGGCTTCGTTCGTGCAGGCTGGATTTCGACTTCTTCGTTGTTTCGGGTGGTCCAGAGGTGTCGTCCGGCATTGTTGATGCGCTTCTCTCTCGCGGTTGAGGCGGCGGACCTAAACCGTCTGCCGCTGGAAAGTAAGCAGCCTCCTTTCGCCGCGCAATCGTCTCCGGGACAGTCGCAGGCTGGGCCCGGCCTGGGAAGTTGTTGCTTTCCACCATGTATGCTTGCGTCTACCCTCGGATGCAATGCCTGGGTTTTGGTTGGAAGGTCGTCTGGAATGGTACTTCGAGGTTGTCGACCCCTGTCCCGGCGACGCAGGCATCGTCGGCTGACTCTTTGCAAGCTGCGGGTTCTTCGCGACTTGCGTGTCCGGCTTGTATCAACTTCTGGATTCCTGCTGCAGGCGAACCGTCGTTGCCGTCGCAACGGCCGGTGCCCGCCTCGTCAATACGGGGCTTGTGTTAGTCCGAGCGCCCCTTCCGGCATGGTGGTAGGTAGGCTTCTTGCAAGGGCGCATGCGGAATTTCCTTCGAGCACGGTGCTGTCACTCTGAAGGTCCTGACGACGCGGCCTCCGCCGGTCAAAGCCGCGCCTGGCCGACCGCCGCCGTTGGCTGGCGATCCCCGAAGGACGCTGCCGGCGAAGGCAGATTCGTTTGTGCGGGGCGGACTTCTTGCGTGTCTGGCTTGAGCAACTTTTCGATTCCTGCTGCAGGCGAAAGACGACTGCCCGTCGTTGCCGTCGCAACCGTCGGTGCCGTCGACACCGTTGCAGGTGGTCGCCCTGCAAGTGGGATGTTTGTCGTGGGGTTCTTCTTGCTCGTCTGCAAATCAACTCGGCGACAACACTTCAGGAGGCTGTCCTGGGTTGGCCACGGGGTGGATGGTCCGCGTCTAGTCTTCTCCCGGCTTCACGGGGTCCAGCATTCGTCCTCCTTGTCTGCTATAGGGCTTGCGTTAGTCCGAGCGCCGCTTCCAGCATTGTCGTAGGTAGGCTTCTTTCAAGGGCGCATGCCGAAATTGCTTTGAGCACGGTGCTGTGACTCTGGAGGTCGACGCGACGCTGCCTCCGCCGGTCAAAGCCGCGCCCGGCGGACCGCCGCCGTTGCCTGCCGATCCCCGAAGGACGCTGCCGGCGAAGGCAGATTCGTTTGTGCGGGGTGGAATTCTTGCGTGTCTGGCTTGTATCAACTTTTCGATTCCTGCTGCAGGCGAAAGACGACTGGCCGTCGTTGCCGTCGCAACCGTCGGTGCCGTCGACGCCGTTGCAGGTCGTCGCCCTGCAAGTGGGATGTTTGTCGTGGGGTTCTTGCTCGTCTGCAAATCAACTCGGCGACAATACTTCTGGAGGTTGTCCTGGGTGGGCTTGCGTTAGTCCGAGTGCCTCTTCCAGCATTGTCGTAGGTAGGCTTCTTGCAAGGGCTCATGCCGAAATTGCTTTGAGCACGGTGCTGTGACTCTGGAGGTCGATGCGACGCGGCCTCCGCCGATCAAAGCCGCGCCCGCCGGATCACGGCCGTCGCCTGGGGATCCCCGAACGACATCGCCGGCCAAGGCAGATACGTTTGCGCAGGGTGGACTTGGATTTTTTCGCTGCTGCGGGTGGTCCGGAAGCTGTTCTCCGCGTCCTCAACAAAATCGGTGGCCTCGCTGCTCGGATCATCGCAGGTCGCCTTGCGCGAGCCAAGGGCGTCGAAAGTCTTTGGGTGATTACGTTGATGTTCCGCAGGCTGACGCTGTGGTCGCTTCGGACTCCTTTCGACAGCAGGCGAAGACGCTTGGTTATCACGGTTGACATTCGTTCTCTCCTTGATTCAGGCGGCCGAGGAGTGCCTCGCTGCGCCTCCGGGAACATCCACGATCGCTGCGGCAGCCTTCTCGCCGAGTTTATCGCAGGTCGGCTTGTTGGAATCTGGGTTGTTTAGAATGTTCGAACGATTCTGCTGAAGTCTGGCAGGCTGACGCACAGAGTCCGGGAGAAACGTTGCATGGGCAGGCGAGCGAGTGCGCTTGGTCTGCACGTTTGACATTCGTTCTCTTTCTCGTGCAGACGCCCGAGACGTGGCTTTCTGCGCCTCCGGAAAAATCCGCGGCCGGTCCAAAGGCGTCGTCGATTTCATGGCAGCTGGGTTTGCCGGAATCAAAGTCGTCGAGATCGGTAGGACCACTGCGCTGAAGTAGTGCAGGCTGACTCTGCGTCGCAACAGCAGGCGGCGACGGCGGCTTGTTTGTAGGGTCGACGACCGTATATGTGGCGACTGGTCGGATTACTGTGTCGAACTCTCGCAGGTCGATGCGGTGCCTGTTGGAGAAGTACGAGCAACGCCGGCGAAGGCGGACCTGACGCGTGTTTTCTGCTTCGCTGCAGTGTCGCTCCTCGGGCTCGGGCTCGCGTTTTCTTCTCGGGTTTGAACGATGTGTCCAAGGCACGGCCCAAAAAACGACAGCAGGCCAGGCCGGCGAGTGTGCCCTGTGCATTTGACGGTGACAGTTGAAAGTGTGCTTTCGACTGCTTTGAGGCTGGGTCAGATGCCGCTTCCGCGTCCGCTAGCTCTTCGTAGGTCCCTCGACTGTCAGTGTGCGGCGAGGCGGATCCTTGGCTGCATATGTTGCACATGGCATTGGCTTTTAAATTGTCGTGCGCTGCACAGTTGGAATCTGATTCGACTGTTTTCACAGGTCACCCAGCTGTGGTCTGCCTCGGCGCCTGATGCTGTTGGAGACAAGGTGTCGGTTGTCGGAAGCCCGTTCCTTCGTGTGGAGACAAGAGAGAGGGCGTCCGAACGTGCAACCGTGTTTCAGGCGCTTCCCTCCGACGACAGGGGCCAGTCTCGCGAGAAGCGTCCCAGAGAGGAGGGGGACCCTCCAACATCATATACTCCAAAGATTGCTCGCGAGCAGAGCCAGACTTCTCCGAGCGACTCTTCCGAAGCGGAGAACGAGTCGCCTGCTTGCTTTCAGGTCCAGCTGCAGGCGCGTGAGGAGCGCGCTGTCGTGTTTCTTGCGGATGTTGTTCTCCGTTACTTGTTTTTTTGTTTTTTTTTGTGTGTCTCTTGTTACGTAGGGGCTTATCGGGGGCGGTGGTGGTGGTCTTCAACCTGCAAACCTGTCCCTGACAGACTCTGATGCAGCAAAATGACTCCCTGTTCGCGGTCGGCGGCCCTCTGAAGAACGGACCGCTGATGCTGCGGCGGACGTACGAGTCACCTCGTCGTTGGTGCTCCTGCGGGAAGCCTTATATTCGGTGCGAGCTCTTGGAATGGTGCACCGTGTGCGGTGGAGACAGCAGAAATTGGTGGGAGATGAAGACGATACGGGATAAGGTGCAACCTGTGTTCCAGAACAAGTTCCAGGACCAGTATTGGCTCCAGTGTACCAGCTGCGCCCGGCAAGTGGATGGCTACGGCCTCGGCTCATTGGATATCGAGAGGAACGTGCTCGACCGAGAGTCGACGGAAAGGCTTTACTTGCAGGATATGGCAATGAAACGCGTTGCGCTGGCAGATGCCGCGCGGTTGGGCGAACACGATGATTTGCCGGAGCCGCCTGTCACCCGCTTCGACTACGGGACCAGCCACTTCACCGCTGCCGGAGGGCAAGTGGCGTTTCCGCCTCGAGAGAACAGCAGACCTCGTGCGGAGTACGAGAACGATGAGAATGCTTTCCCGCGAGAGGAAAGGCTGGGATTTGACGTCGATCCAAAGGAATATCATGCTGCGCACTGGACTCTTCACTTTCTTTGGGAGGAACTGCGTGTCTTCCACGAGGAGCAGACCGGCTGGCCTTACGAACCTCACGTGGACAGGGGCGGGAGGCATGCCAGCAGGTATCCAAGGGAATTCGGCAAGCAGTACGCGAGTCTCTCTTTTTGAAAGGGCGGCAGAACGGCTGGCAGTGGCTGCCTGGCATGTCACCAGATTTTCGTGTGGTGCAGGAGCCGGCCGTGCTCTCGGAGCGAATTCAGGAGTTGATCTGGGTTCATCAATTGGAAGGATTTCCCCTCAGGATGCAAGGTATGAAAAAGCTCTCTTGGTGGGAAGCCGGGAAGGTGGCGGCCCGCACGGCTTGGAAGACTATGCGATTCCTGCCAGACACTGCCTTTCCTGGTCAAACGCATCAGTGGCCGGTACAGCGACCCGACGGCACCGTCACATGGAATGGCGATCTGTGAGTTCAGTGACAAGACTGCTTTACTCCTTGCCGTGCTCGCCTTGTCGCGAGAAGAAAGCTAGTGTCTGCCTGCAGGACGATTCGCTGTGGATCGACTGCGTGCGGGCAACATGTTTCCTTCTCGTGCATCCTTTCGTTCTGCGACAGGCAGACGCGGAATTGTTCGTTGTCGCGAGAAGAAAGCTAGTGTCTGGTTGCAGGACGATTCGCTGTGGATCGACTGCGTGCGGGCAACATGTTTCTTTCTCGTGCATCCTTTCGTTCTGCGACAGGCAGACGCGGAGTTGTTCGATCTTTTTGCCTGTCGGGGACGCACGTTGCACGGAGTGACAATTTGCTTTCGTAAAAAAAAGGCCTGTTCTGTCGCGTTGCTGCAGTGATGTCAGTCGCGCTGTGTCGCCGTCCTGCTTGGTCGCGGCAGCTTGCAGTGTTCCGCAGCGCTGATTCTCAAGTTTCATTTGTGAGGCATTGTCGCTCTTGCCATGGCGGGCGCAACGACTGTCTTGGACGACACCACTACCTTCTACATCATGTTCGTTCCGGAGGCGCGCGCTGTGTTCTCTTTTTCTTTTTTTTCTTTTGGTGTGAGCTTGTGGCCATGCGTCAGCTTTCGAGTATCGTGTTCTGGTTAGTTGGCGTAGGCAAGCGGCATTTTCAAGGATTACCTGGTTTTGATGGAGAGCACTCCAAAAAGTTGGCGGGATCTCGAACTCAGGTGGTGCAGAACTTTCGTGACGAGACAAGCATTCCGCGCTGTCGGCAGCCGGGTGCCACGGAGCACTTGTCTTTGCGTCCCACGCCGGAGCAGGCTCACGATCGTTATTACTGGTGGCGCGATGAGACCACGTCACTCGTCAGGGATGTATCGCGTGGTGGAGCGAGGGCGCGATGGAACGATAAGGGCAAGCGGGGGGATATGCATCTGCACCGAGGCCGGAGCCCGTTGGGGTGAAGATCACCATGACCCACGAAGGCCGCACGCGCTTTCTGGCAAATGGCAGCTTGGCTCTGCCGGTCCGACACGGCGTGACGTGGGGCCGTTGGTCTGGTCCACTGACCGTGGGCAACACAATGAGTGCTGCCAATCAGCTGCTGATGACGGTGGAGCTCCTCTCGTAGACAGGACGACTCGCTGTGGGTCGACTGTCCCGAGGTTGTCCAAAGAGATGTGATTCTCTCCGAGCAGGACGACTCGTTGTGAGTTGACTGCAAAGAAACATGATGTTGTGTCAAAAAACTTTGAGCGGGCTACAGGTGCGTGAGGCATCGGTGGCCGGTACAGGAAACCTAGATCGACATGAGCCGGGTCGATTCCCTGTGACTCGACTGGCAAAACGACTTGCATGACTCCTTACCATGCTCGCCTTGTTCCGCGAAGAAAGGTAGTGTCTGGTTGCAGGACGATTCGCTGTGGATTGACTGCGCGCAGATCGCATGTTTTCTTTCTCGTGCATCCTTTCGTTCTGCGAAAGGCAGACGCGGAATTGCTCGATCTTTTGCCTGTCAGGGGTGCGTGTTGCGTGCAATGACAGTGTGCTTTCGATTAAAGAAACAGCAAGGCGTTCTGTTGCGTTGCTGCATTGATGTCAGTCGTCCTATGTCGCCGCCACGCTTTGCATGTCCGGCTCGATCTGCCTTGTCCCTGTCAGGCTCGGCTGCAGCTTCTGCGAATGTTCTGCGCGGAGGCTCGCTGCAGTGCCGCGTACTGTGTTCTCGGCTCTGCTTTGTTTCTGTGTATCACTTCGGAAAAAAAAGAATGGGGCAGCTTG